AACATAAATCTTCAGGCCAAGAATTTTGATTCTAAGAATTTATCCAAAGGCGATTAATCAAAAATGTGGATGTGGATTTATAGGTAAGAAGTGGTTGTATAAATGACAGGATGTTTATCATGAACCATCAACAACATCTATTTAGTGAGCACGTCCTGTTTGCTATGTATAAACACTTTTACGTTCTTAAAAATTATTGAGAACCTCAAGTAGCTTTTGTTCATGTGACTCTATCTATATTTACCATGTTAGAAATTAAAACTAAGTATTTTTTAAAAATATTAATTCACCTAAAATAACAATAATAACCCGATGACAATTTAACATAACATATTTGTACGAAAAAAGTAATTTCTAAAACAAAAAAAAATGAGTGAGTAGCATTGATTTACATTTTTGCGTCTCTTTTTCACATCTGGCTTGATAACAGAGAGCTGGAGTCCTGTATCCACATTAGCATTCAATCTGTTGCAGTATGTTGTTTTGGTTGAAAGAAACAAAGAAGATCTTCCTGCATGTGTGCTGGGGAAAGGGAGACCCTCACAGACTCCCTGAATGTACTTGAGGGACCCTAAGGGATTCCTTGGATCACAGTTTGAGAAACTATATATATGGAATATTGTGTAATAATCAAGGGAAATGCTTATTGAGTAAATACTAAATGACATGGGAAATGTTTGGAATACAATACTGACTGGAAACTAGCAGGACAATAATTGTGTGTACAATAGAGCCTCAAATATAGAATGTATAAAATATAGGAAAAAATGAAAAAAAAAAAAACATAGCTGAAATGTTAATACCCACAATAGATTTCTACTTGGTGGGATTATGAATACTTACTGTTTCTTTATAGTTTTCTTTGTCATCTAAAATTTCTTTAATGGCTCAAACACACACACACACACACATATGATGTGTCACATCAAGCATGGCTCCTGGGCTTCACCTTCTCCCCACCAGCAGGGACATATGCCTTTCAGCCCTGTCTTACCTCTCCACAAGCACCCGCCCTCCCTAAAGTGACCCCCAAAGAGCTTGGACTTTTCCATATCATCTGTTTGCCCCTAACTTCCCTCCACTGTTTCTTCCAGAGAGCCCACAGGATGGTGTGCCTTGGTCTCAAATTCCAGAATCCCTGTGGCGGTGTCCCTTCCTCATGGCGCTTGCTATGATTCTTACTTAATTTGTATCACAGGGATTTTGATATTAGTCACCAGTATATAATTAATGGCCAGTGGATGGTTCATGATGATTTGCCAGATGTTACCCGCCCACCTCCCTATACACACACTTGTGACCTTGACAGAAAGAGATAAAAGCACAAGCAGGTTGAGGAACGCCTGGGTGACTCAGTCGGTTAGGCATCTGCCTTCAGCTCAGATCATGATCCCAGAGTCCTGGGATCGAGCCCCACATCGGGCTCCCTGCTCAGCGGAGAGCCTGCTTCTCCCTCTCCCCCTTCTCCCCACTTATGCTCTCTCTCTCAAATAAATAAGTAAAATCTTTTAAAAAAAGAAAAAAGCACAAGCAGGTTGAATAGTCACCATTTACACGGGGGAAAAAAACCAAAAACCCTTAGGACCAAGATGGAGGAGAAGAAAATAGTATTCAGCCAAGCAATTTAGTTACTCGGGGATTTTGTGTGTGTTTGTGTGCACAAACACTTTGTTTCGGCCAGAGATCCCCAGCCATGACTTGGAGAGGAGTGAGAGCCCAGCAGATTTGATTAGTTGGTGTCCGCTCTATCACTACCAGGCTCTGCGCCAACAGCCCATGGCCGCTCCTGGGAGCGTGGAGACGGTTGTTTCAAAACGTGAGAACCCCAGTCTGACTCCTGGGGCTTGCCCTGGGAAAAGGTGAAGAACACCTTTCGGGTGAGGGCAGAGTTTCTGATCCCTTTTGCCACACTGAGGAACGCAGGGAGATGTCTTTGGATGCCGGTCTTGGAGGCACTCTGCCCCGGCTAGGTAGCCTGACTTGCTTCTACGCTCTCGAAGTTGCATCGCTCACCTCCTTTGTGTGAGTACCTTGGTGCGTAGGGTGGGGAGGGGGGCGGAGGTTGGCACTACTCTGCTGGTGGGGATCTGCAAAGGTCAGAGCAGGTCTGGGCTCAGTGGCAGACGTCAAAAGGAGGAGGTTAACAATAGCGTAAGAAACTTGCTCTAGATGGAATGTGGCCCCCCGAAATTCATATGTTGAAATCCTAAGCCACAGTGTGATGGTGTGAGGGGCCGGGGCCTTTGGGAGGTGACTGGATCATGAGGTTGGAGCCCTCATGAGTGAGCTCAGTGCCCTTATAAAATAGACCCCAGGGAGCTCCCTTGTCTCTCCTGCCATGAGAGAACACAGCGAGAAGACAGCCGTCTGTGAACCACGAAGTGGCTCCCACCAGAAGCCAAATCTGCCAGTGCCTTGATCTTGAACTTCCCAGCCTCCGGCACTCTGAGAAAGAAATCTCTGTTGTTTAAACCCCCCGTCTATGGTCTTTTGTTATAGCAGCCCGAAAGGACTAAGGCAAAACCTAAGTACAAAAGATCGTTTTGGAATTTAGGACATTGTGTGTCAAGCAGATAACAAGGTCAAGGTCACACTGCTGAAATGAAATCAGATATGTCTTGTGAACTTACTGCGTGCCAGCAATCGATGCCAGCAGGTCCTGTTCACTGCCGTACATGGGTCATCTCGCTTTCTTTTCCCAGCACATCTATGAGGTAGTTACTGTCGTTCCATTTTACATGCGAGCAAACTGAGGCACAGAGAGGTGAAGCAACTCAACATGGCTAGTGAGTGGCAGAGCCATGCCTTGACCCAGGTCGGCGAGCCCCAGAGCCGCGCTCTTGCAGCTTAGATCCCAGTGGGTGATGCAGAACGATAAATGCATGAAGCCGGGACGGTAGAGGTAGCGGCAGGTGAAAGGGAAACAGAGAGCTGGGCAATGCTGAGAATGCCGCCCAACCCAGCTGTTTACGAAATCTGGGCATACTTCCTGGAGGAAGGTGATGGGGCCGAGATGCTGAGTTGGAAACACTGCTGTCTGGGGCCCAAGGAGATTAAGCAACTCACTTTGTGTCAATCAACTTAGAAATTTTAAAGTTTTTAAAATTTTAAAAAGTATGTTTTAAATATATTTTTAAAACCCAGTATACACATTGTCATTATGCTGTACATTTTAAACTTACACAGAGCTATATGTCAATTATATCTCAATAAAACTGAAAGAAGAGATGCAAACTTAACAAACCAGAAGTAACACTTGTGTGACCACCAATTAAAGTTACTATTGTTTTGTGTGACTATAAAAAAAAAAAAAGAAGGGGGCAGGAATTGACTGGAAAGTGGCAAGGGAGAGGGTTACATGGCTGCACACATGTGTCAAGACTTCCCAAATTGTGCATTTAAAATGGTTACATTGTATGTAAATTATACCTGAATAAAGTTGATTAGAAAGTGCAATGGTTATGTGTCAATTTGGCTAGGCCACAATACCCAGATATTTGGTCAAACACTATCTACGTGTTTCCGTGAAGGTATTTTTTGGATGAGATTAACACTGAAATCGGTAGACTTTGATTAGATAGATGACCCTCTGTAATGTGGGTGGGCCTCATCCAATCAGGTGAAGGCCCAAATAAAAAAAGACTGAGCTCCCCCAAGGAGGAGGTCATTCTGCCAGCAGACAGCCTTTGGACTTGAACTTCAGGTCTTCTCTGCGTCTCCACCCTGCTGGCCTACCCTGTAGATTTTGGGCTTGCCAAGCCTCCATAGTTGTGTGAGCCAATTTTGTAAAATAAATCTTCACACTCTGCCATACACACACACACACACACACACTTGCACATACACACATCCTGTTGGTTCTGTTTCTCTGGAGAACCCTACCAAATATAAGAAGAAAAGTAAGCCTGCCTCATAAATCTTCCCTGAGAACCTTATGGCCTTGTTGGGAAGAGAAGACCAGTATGGGCACAGAATGAATACAAGAATGAATGTGAAATCTCATCTCATTTCACACCTCGCTTGTCTGCCTACAGAATCCACATGAGCTGAATCTTTGCTGAATGACTCAGAGTTATGGTGAGATTTTGGTTGACTGTGGACCTTGCGTTATTCCAAGTTGGGTGAAAGATGACAGAATGCACAGCCTGACTTCTGACTTGGGTTTTCAGGTTGACCCAGAGTGGTTTTTGTGCGTGTCCTTAACTGCCATTGAGTTAAACCTCCCAGAGGTGATTTACAGGAGGTCTTCTTATTAGTTTTTGGAGAAATGTGTGCCCTTTATCTCTGTGTTGAGGTGACCCTACCCTGCCGGGAGAACCAAGTAGTGCAGATATGTCCCCAGAAGAGGCTTGAAATTGTCTCTTCTTTCTGTTCCCATGGGAACTCCTGTGTTGATGTAGCACCTATGATTCCTTGGAAAAGCTTGCTGGGCTCTGTTTCGTGGCTCTTCCTACAGGTGCTTGCATTCCTGCAATTGGTTATTTATCCCCCTCTAGCTTGTAAAACATTTATAGTTTTCTGATCCTTCAGACGCATTGGGTCCCCTCACTTTGAGGTATTTCCAAGTATCACTGGCAAATGAGATTACTTTAGGTAACCCCACTTCTGTACTTTAAATTTTATGTGGGAAGGGTTCTAATCTCAGAGAGAAACCTTTGTATTGTCTGTGGGGGGTTGGGGGCCCAAATTTATTTAGGTAACAGAGAATTGAGCTGGAAATCTCTGTGCTGACAATTAAGTAGCATTCCCTGAGGACACAAGGACTTAAAACACGTAAGTGGCGGTTCCTGGGTGGCTCAGTCAGTTAAGCGTCTGCCTTCAGCTCAGGTCATGATCCCGGGGTCCTGGTATTGAGCCCCGCGTCAGGCTCCCTGCTCAGCGGGGAGTCTGTTTCTCCTCTCCCTTAGTCCCTCCCCTGCTTGTGCTCTCTCTCTCAAATAAATAAATAAAATCTTAATAAGTAAATAAGTAAACAAATAAAAATACCTTGTATCCCACAGGGCAAATCGTACCCCTTCAGGGGCCCCTTCCCACCTGTGTGGAACCCAGTTGTGTACCTAGATCATAACAACCTTTGGAGGACGATGGATGCCATGGGGCAAGAGGTAAAGCTTACTCATGCTTCTTTGACTATGTTTGTATTTTTCCTAATAAGTTTAGTCCTTCAAAGAAAGAAGGGACACTGTATCAGCAATGCCTAGCATGTTGTCTGGTACATAATATCTCTCAGTAAAGATTTAGGAAATGAGGGGCGCCTGGGTGGCTCAGTCGTTAAGCGTCTGCCTTCGGCTCAGGTCATGATCCCAGGGTCCTGGGATCGAGCCCCACATCGGGCTCCCTGCTCAGCGGGAAGCCTGCTTCTCCCTCTTCCACTCCCCCTGCTTGTGTTCCCTCTCTTGCTGTATGTCTCTCTCTGTCAAATAAATAAAATATTAAAAAAAAAAGATTTAGGAAATGAGTGAATGAACTGGTTTTTAACCACTAAAAGAATGAGATGTCCTGCAGACCACTGGTCACATACCACCGGTGAGGGCAGGGAGAAAAGATCACACATCTCTCAGTCTTCCTGGGAAGTCCTCAGGACAGAGCAGAATAAGACTTCTAAGGTCTTTGTGTCGCCATCTTGTTCAAACCTGCAGCCCATAAGTAAGCACACACAGAACTTGACCTGAAACTCCAGTTTAGGCATGAATTGGTGCAGCTGTCTGATCTGTGTTAAAGGCTGAATTTATGAATTTTCTGTCTAAATGAGCAACTTAGTAATCGATATTTGAAAACGGCCCCATTTCATCATAGCCTCCATTTATTGTGCAGGAAGTGTTACCGTAAATTCAATATGGATCCAGTGGTATAGATCTATAGAGGGAAGGATACACAGAAAACATTGGTTGTGCCATGAGAATCATAAATGGGGGAATTGGAAAGCTTACATTTTCCTTCTTCAAGTGAGAGTTCTCAGTTCTCTTGAAAGAGTTACTTGAAATGGAAAATTATATTCATTTTTCCCCTCTGAATCCTTATCTGAGTGTAGATTCCCAGTGATGCCCCATGGAAGGCACCCCTTGCGGAGGAGTGGGACCACATGACAATGAAGGAGCTGCTGGACAAGATCTGCTGGACAGAGTAAGACTCACCATTAGGCACAGGCATTTCCTGTAACCATCTCTCAGGTTTATTTAGCAATGCCATTCAGCAGGTACGGAACTGCTTTGTGTCTAAAACCACACCATTTGGCCAGATGGAATGCTAAAAAATATTGAAACTGGATTCTGTCCCGAGGATGTCCATACATCTTTGGAATAGCAATGCATCCCAAAGGTGGTATTACCACATCAAGTCCTCAGAACAGACCAGAACGTGCCACCATCTTATGTAGAACAACTTAAAGATCGCCAGCTTGAAGACCTTGTTTATCAAGTTGTTGTTATAAGAAAACTTTTGTCCCCCTCACAGGTGGTCAAGGGTAGAGATGGTGCATTAGAGTATGCATTTGAAACACGTTATGGGATGGGGTGCAACTCTTCAAGGGTTTGAAGAGGAACTTCTAGAGAAGTTCTCTGGATAATTCACAGTTGTAGAGGAAACACGCATGGCTGGAGTAACCCCTCCCCTTTATTGAAAAACATGTAGCTTTGAGAGCAAGTGTTCACCAGTCAAGCCTTAAATTCTGGTTGGCAGAGCTGGGAACTGGCTACAAATTGTGGAGGTGAAATAGATGACCTAGAGGGGCCTCACTGCTCTTGGACGGCAGGAAAAAAGGAAAGGATTGTAAGGGTCCAAGCACATAGTGAATTTGTAGTAAACAGAGTAAGAGAAATGGAAGCCAAGTTCAAGGAGACTGTCCTATCATGCTAAACAGCATTAGTTGAGAAATGTCTGGCTCTGGGGTTGATGTTAAGCATCTGACTCTTGGTTTTGGCTAAGGTCATGATATCAGGGTGGTGAAATTGAGCCCTACGTTGGGCTCCATGCTCAGCGCAGAGTTGGCTTGAGATTCTCTCTCTCCATCTCTCACTGTCCCCTCCCCCTGCTTGTTCTCTCTCTTTCTCTAAAATCTTTACAATCTAAACAAATCTTTAAAAAGACATGAAATTTACATACTCCTTGATACATAAATTCAACTTTTTAGAACTTAGCTTAAAGAAAGAAAGAGAAAAGAACAGAGAGAGGCATCCGGGGGGGGGGGGGGAGAGGGAAAGAAGGAGATTCAAAGAATTACTTTTAGAAGGGAAAGTCTAGGGGCACCTGGGTGGCTCAGTCAGTTAAGCGTCTGCCTTCGGCTCAGGTCATGATCCCAGGGTCCTGAGATCAAGCCCCACATCGGGCTCCCGCTCATGCTCTCTCTCTCTCTCTCTGTCTGAAATAAATAAAATCTTAAAAAAATAATAAAATTAAAGGGAAAGTCTAAATGTCCAAAAATAAAACATTGGTTAAATTAATAATGAGGCATCCAAAAATGGAATACTCTACAGTCTTTTAAAATCATGTTGTAGAGAGCTCCTGGGTGCCTCAGTTGGTTAAGCATCTGCCTTCAGCTCAGGTAATGATCCTGGGGTCCTGGGATTGGGCCCCATGTCAGGCTTCCTGTGCAGCAGGGAGTCTGCCTCTCCCTCTCCCTCTACCTCTCCCCCCGCTCATGCTCTCTCTTTTTCTCTCAAATAAATAAACAAAATCTTAAAAAAAAATCATGTTGTAGAAAAATACTTAATAGCTGGAAAAATTCATAATATTAAACACATAAAAAGGCAGGCTGTCATTGAGTATATACAGGATGATATACGATCTCCTTTATTTATTTATTTATTTATTTATTTATTTATTTATTTATTTATTTATTAAAGATTTTATTTATTTATTTGACAGAGAAAGAGACAGCGAGAGAGGGAACACAAGCAGGGGGAGTGAGAGAGGGAGAAGCAGGCTTCCCGCTGAGCAGGGAGCCTGATGCGGGGCTCAATCCCAGGACCCCGGGATCATGACCTGAGCCGAAGGCAGACGCTTAACGATTGAGCCACCCAGGTGCCCCATAATGTCCTTTTTTAAAAGCAAACTGTATATGCGATGCAAAAGCAATGGACATCCATCACAGTGTTTTTAACACTTAATATTACGGTGCAAACATTTATCCATGCCATTGAAAATGCATCATTAAATATCATATTTTATGTTTGCAGAATATTCCATGGAAAGTGACTACTATGATGTATTTATCCATCATCATCCTGTTGGACATTTTGGTTACTTCCAGGTTTTCATAATTATTATTATTATATAATACTCTGTGATAAAACATCTTTGTGTTTCTCTTATGACTTTAACCTTTGAGAGCAACCAATTCTGAAATAGAAAAATCCTATTATTGTCATGAAATCAATGCCTGTTATTAATTATATCTTTTTAAACACATTATTTACCACTTTTTTTTGAAAGTGCAGTTTGCAATTATAACTTACTTTTATTGTAATACAGTTTCAATATTTTAAATTCTATACATTAGATTTTATAAACATAGTAAGTATTTAATTATCTGCATTTGTTTTAGTAGAACCTCCATTATGAAAAGCTTTTCATAAATTCAGGAAAGTCTTTTCTCTTCAGAGAGCTTTGAAACCCCTTGAAAATAGGACTAATTATATTCCTTTGGGATTATAGAGATCTGACTTTTTCTACCATAGTCCTTGGCCTAGACCCACCACCCTTAGTGAATATTGTAGGTTGTTGGCTGACAAAATAAAGCATTCTGAGATATTAAGATTATATGAACACAAGGTTATTTTTAACTTCCTGTAAGCAAGATCTACATGCTATCATTTTCCGGTTTTAAAGGAAGTAATTCCCTAAATATCCAACTTATTGTTACTCAACCTGAAGCACAATCATATATTTGAAGAATAATGTGGATCAGTCTTTCAGTTATTATCATTTAAAAAGTGTTTCTCAAAATACAATAAAATAAAACAAAAAATAAAATGTGTTTTTTAGAAACAGGTTACAATTACAGTGTGGTCAAGGCTATGTAAATACACTTTTCAAAACCTATAACTAAAAAAAAAGTCCCAAAATGAAACCAGTGATTATCTTTTGGGGGGGCAGAAATATGGAAGACACTCATCCTCTCACCTTTTTACTTTATGAACTTTCCAACTTTTATATAATGTGTATGTATTTTTCATGTAGAGAAAGATAATAACATTTATCTTTTAAAAAGTCAACAGGGCAAAGAACATGAAAATATTATTGCACTAGCTTCCTTGACCTTCCATCGGTCAGATGTTGTTCTTCTCATTTCTTTTCTCACTAAAGCTCCCAGAGAAAGTCAAATAAAGGATTAGGAAGGGCCTGGCCCTCCGGAGAGAATTGCTTTGAGATCTCCCTCTATTTCAAGCCAGGATGATTTCTTTCCCACCCAGTTGGCAACAATAACAACTAGAATCACAGCAGTATTTTTGTGTTTAATCTTGGCTGTCTTAGCTGGGCCAGTGTTCAATTTTAGTTGTTTATTACTCCCTTGACCTTATGCCCCCCAAATTCCCTTACAAATTAAGGAACAAAAGGAGTAGGACATTGGGAAACACTGAAGGATGTTTTCACTTTGAAGTAATACTTTAAACTCACGTCTGGGTGTTTGCTTTAGATCGATGCTACAAATGGCCTTCGCAAAGAAAACACGAGTCAGCAATTTCCCTCCCTTTGGTTATCATGAGGAATCTTACAAACTCACTTTAAGTCACTTCAACATATATATTATACTAGTTTCAGGCTAAATGATGGGGACTGTTACAAAGACGCTATCAGGTTGTTAGGGCTGTGAACATTGTCAGGAATGTGTGTTGGGCCTGATTGCAGAAACTTCCAGAGTCAAGGTACACTAGTGTAGAGATGTGGTCCTCGGTGAGTATTTGTGCTTTCGAGCTTATAAGCTGCCTAATTGTAAAGCATTTCGAGGTAGTAAAAGTGTGAGGTTTGAATCAGGTGTGATCTGGTTTGAAGTTGTACCATTTAGTGGACTGTGTACGACATATTACTAACCTCCCTGAGATGCAGTTTTCAGACTTGTGAACTGGGGAGAAATTGCTGTTTTATAGAATTGTTATGACATTCAATACAATGGGTTTAAAAACCATGGAGTATGAAAGAGTTCAGTAATGGAAGGCAGTATCATGTATCCCACCCGTTGTCAGCATGACCAGGTGGCAAACTCTGCCTTGGATATAAGCAGGTTAACATCACATGAACTTTATGTCAAAGTCAGAAGCGGAGGATTGGCTCTTATTAAACATGTCCCAGAGTACACATTACTACTGGTGAATTTTAGAATTGTTAAATAGGGGTGCCTGGCTGGCTCAGTCGGTAGAGCACGCAACTCTTGATCTCGGGATTGTGGGTTTGAGCCCCACATTGGGTGTGGAGATTACTTAAAAATAAAATCTTTAAAAAAATGGTGTTAACATATAGCTGAGTTGTTGGAATTGCAAGAGATCACTCACTTTCTGGTATGCCTCGAGATAGGATATAACCTTTCCCTGTTGACCTGCCAACCCCAAGCAGAAGTTCACATATCTGTGCTCTATTAATTGCTTTCCCCCCTTATCCATCCTTTTAGCTTGTCTTTCACTAGACAGTAAAATAAATGAATAAATAACTGGGACTGGGGTCGCCTGGGTGGCTCAGTCATTTGAGTGTCTGACTCGATTTCAGCTCAGATCATGATCTCTCTCCCTGCATCAGGCTTTGCACTCAGCGCAGAGTCTGCTTGTCCCTCTCCCTCTGCTACTCCCACTGCTCTCTCTCTCTCTCAAATAAATAAATAAAATCTTTTAAAAAATAACTGGGACTAATTCTGTATTAGGGACAGCACCTCGCTTATCCTTTGCACATTATGTATAATTTATTTATTTTTTTAAAGATTTTATTTATTTGAGAGAGAGAGCAAGCACGAGTGGGAAGGAGGGGTAGACAGAGAGGGAGAAGCAGGCTCCCCACTGAGCAGGGAGCCCGATGCAGGGCTCGATCCCAGGACCCTGGGATCATTACCTGAGCCAAAGGCAGATGCTTAACTGACAGAGCCACCCAGGTGCCCCCATTATGGATAATTTTAAAATAATATTTAACTGATAACCATTTATGCATTCAGTCATCCAACAAGTAATTATTGAGTGCTTACTATGTGCCAGACACTATTTTATTAAAGGGGACACTGGTAAGCAAGAAAGTTAAGATTCCTGTTCTCATTGGTTGATAATATAGTAGGGGAGACAGCAGTAGAAAATAGTGAACCAGGAATAAAGATAATTTAAGACAATGAAAAGAGTTATAAAGACACCATACTATGGTAAGATGATAGGGAATGCCAGAGTACTGGGTAAATGGAAGCTGGTGTTTATTTTCACAGAGGTAGAAGAGTTCATCTTTCTGAGGAGACATTAGAAGACGTAGAGCGGGTACAGAATGAGGGAGAAAAAGTAGGCCTGGGCTAGATCACTTGGGGCTTTGCTGGCAAAGGTGAAAGATCCAAATCCCGTTCTGGTTTCGATAGGATGCCACTGGTGGGCTTAAAGCAAGAGTATGATATGACTCGATTTATACAATAGAAAGAGCCCCACAACGGGGAGGGGCTAAAAAGCTTCTGGCTTTGAGTTTGGTGAAGGGATACCAGGTAACAATGAGTGGAGGCAGAGAGACCAGTCTGGAAGAAATAATGGCAATAGTCCTGACAAAAGATGATGCTGCGTTGGTGGTGGTGATGGCAGGGTGATGTGGTGAGAGACAATAGGACTCCCTGATGGATTGGGCTTGGGGGGAGAGTGAGGGAAAGAGAGAAATTAAGGTTGATTTCTAGAGTGTTGGCCTTAGCAGTCGGGTGAATGGTGATGCCTTTTACGGAGATGGGGATCACAGGACGAGGAGCAGGCATATGGAGAGAAATCATGATACCACAGAATACGGAATACAGGCTGATCTTGAGTAAGCTGTTTGGGTGAAGGGGAACAGAAATCTCATTCCCACAGGCTCGGATGTCATGTTTTCTAATACTGGATTCTAGAATCATGGATTCTAGTACTAGTGACAATTTCCTGCCACTTGCCAAACTGTGCTGAAGTTAGCCAAGTAAATGTAATGCTTGAATCATGTCCATAGTATGAAGAACATGCCCTCCCACATTTGTTAATTGTGCTCGTGTTTCTTCCCGAGCAGATCTGCCAAGCAGCTTGCCACTCTCTTCGTGAACCTGTGTGTCACTGCAGAGACCCATGAGGTCTCTGCGCTCTGGTTCCTGTGGTATGTGAAGCAGTGTGGGGGCACGACCAGGATCATCTCAACAACCAATGGAGGGCAGGTACTCATCCATCCCCACACTGTTCCAACAGAAGACCACCATGCCTAAATAAAAAATTGGCATCCTCCTTCTTCAGCCATGAATGGATGAGGCAGGAGGCAGGCTTGTGGACTTCAGAACTTTATGATGGCAGCCCCAAGTGGTTTTGTGAGGGACAGTCTGTTGTTAGGGACCCAACGTGAGAACCCGGCGGCCGCCAATGGGGCTTTAAGATGTACCTCGCTACCTCGCTACATACTTTTGCCATTTTCCATTTGGATATGCATCTGATTATTATCCAGGAAGTTTGTAGGAGACCATCCAATGAAACATAGCTTGAGCACTTCTTGGAAAGCTCAGAAAGGAAAGTCAGAAACGCATTTTCAATTTCAAACACACACATTCCACACAAAATCCATTCACTCATGCTTTCATTCATTCATTCATTGTTTCCTGAGCCCCAGCATTGTATAAAGCTCTGTGCTAGGCCTAGTAGGAAGTGAAGTTGAGATCTTTTTTTTTTTTTAAAGATTTTTTATTTATTTATTCATGAGAGACAGAGAGAGAGAGAGGCAGAGGGAGAAGCAGGCTCCCAAGGAGCAGAGAGCCCGATGCGGGACTCGATCCCAGGACCCCGGGATCATGACCTGAGCCGAAGGCAGACGCTTAACCATCTGAGCCACCCAGGCACCCCAGTGAAGTTGAGATCTTAAGTAATCTGCTTGCTAGTCATTTTCCTTCCTTTCCCCTTTCTCATTCTCCCCTCTGCTCCTCCTCCCTCTCCCCCTCCTTCTTCTCTTTGTCTTTCTCCTCTTCTCTCTCTCTCCCTCTCATTCTTCTCAGACCTATTTGAAATAATCTTTTACAAAATTACCTGAACTGAAAATTTAGGAGAAGGCAGTCAGCTCAACCGTGTGCCCAGCCATGCAGAATATTCAGAAGCAACAGGCTTGTGACCCAGGATGAGATGGGCAGCCTGCAACAGAGAGGAGGGTAGCCTGGGGGTGGGTAGGCCAGGGAGGTTCTCAGCCTGAGTAACAAGGAATGGAAAAACAGGCTTAGGTGTGCTCAGGCAAGTGGTAGTCCAGCTGCAGGTGGGACTTCACCGGACCCAGCAACCCAACAGAAGGATCTAGATGGGACATGAAGCAGGGGTAGCGGCCGGGCAGGTAGGACATGGGGGTCAGGCTGAGGATGTCCAGCAGAGGGTGGAGCCTGGGAATCCACAAGAGCATGGCCTAACAGTCACCTGTCTAGAAAGCCTGTAATTTTGTCAAAAGCCAGCAATCACTACTTAGAAAACAGTGGTCGAAGACCTGATTCGCAACAGCAAAATGCAATTTATACATCTCACAGAGACATATGTGAGAAAAACTCACAACTGAATCATTAAAACCCGTTCCTATATTTCCTACCCATCTCTTGAGTCCTCTTTTCTTTCCAGGAGAGGAAATTTGTGGGCGGATCTGGGCAAGTGAGTGAGCGGATAATGGACCTCCTTGGCGACCAAGTGAAGCTGGAGAGGCCCGTGACCCACATTGACCAGACAGGAGAAAATGTCCTTGTGGAGACCCTCAACCATGAGGTGTATGAGGTAACCAAAAGCCTTAAACTAGGGGAGGTGGCCAGAATCCCATAGATAATCAAAGCTTAAATAAAGCCAAGAATGTTCCAGACTTCATAGACAATGCTTTGCCAAAGGTGAAAAAGCTACCTCTGTCTGAAAGAAGGGAAAAGAGAACCAGAATATTTGGGGAGAGGGCAGATTTGTAAAATCATATATTATCAAGCCTCTGTATTGGGCTCCTATGTAATTAGATACCAAAGAAAATATTTACTGAATAAATATCAAGTGCTTCCTATGTGTCTGGCATTATTCTAGGAGTTGGGAACACAGCAGAGAACAAAGTAGATAAAATTCTCTGCCCTCATGTGGCTTACATTCTAGTGAAGGAGAAAGGCCATAATTAAGTATATGGTTAAGATATAAAGTATCCCAGATGGTGGTAAGTACTATGGAAGAAAATCAATCAGGGAAGGAGGAGAGAGTGTACCAGAAGGGTTGGGGGGGTAAGGGGATCAGTCATGCAATTTTAAATAAGGTCATGGGGGAAGGCCTCAATCAGGTGATATTTTAGCACAGAACCAAAAAAGATGAGGGGTTGAACTATGTGATGTGGTCCTTCGAGGGAAGAGCATTCCAAGTAGAACAGCCAATGCAAAGGCCCTGAGGTAGAAGCAGGCCCAACATGATGAAGGAACAGCAAGGTGGTCAAATGGCAGAATTAAAGGAATGAGGGGAAGAATAACAGAAGATGAGATCAGTGCTGTAACAAGGGTCCATTTCTATATAGGGCCTTGGAGGTGAGTGTAAGGAACTTGGCTTTGACTCCAAGTGTGATAGAAAGTCATGGGAGGATTTGAACTAGGGAACAATAAGGGCTAATTTTGGTTTTAGCGTGATTCTTCCCATTTTTCTGTTAAGAAGACACTCGAGGGATGCCCGGCTGGCTCAGTCAGTGGAGCGTGTGACTCTTGACCTCGGGGTTGTGAGTTCAAGCCCCATGTTGGGTGTAGAGATTACTTACAAATAAAATCTTTGGGGGAAAAAAAAAACATTCCAAGGGGACCAAGGGTAAAATGAAGGAGAAACATTTGGAAAAAAAACAACAACCCACGAATAATGTTTAAGCAGGTCATTTTTCTTCCAGGCTAAGTATGTGATTAGCGCTGTTCCTCCTATTCTGGGCATGAAGATTCATTTCAATCCCCCTCTGCCAATGATGAGAAACCAGCTGATCACTCGTGTGCCTTTGGGTTCTGTCATCAAGTGTATGGTTTATTATAAAGAGCCTTTCTGGAGGAAGAAGGGTGAGTATTATCAGAAGGTCCAAGAAACTTGGTGCAAAGATATGTATTTGCATGTAACTGGTTTTATTAGAATGCTGGGCATAAAACACTACTAGTCCAGGGGCTGAGTACCGTTCTAGCCAATAAAATATACTGTGCCAATAAAATATATATTTGGCACAAACTCCCTTGAACTATGACTGATTCTTTTCATAGTTTACTATAAAGACTTGTTTTATCCTGCCACAAAATCTTGTGAAAATAGTTACTCTCACTTTCTTTTTTTTAAAGATTTTATTTATTTATCTGACAGAGAGAGAGGGAGAGCAGGAACACAAGCAGGGGGAGTGGGAGAGGGGGAAGCAGGCTCCCCGCTGAGCAGGGAGCCCGACGTGGGACTCGATCCCAGGACCCTGGGATCATGACCTGAGCCGAGGGCAGACGCTTAACGACGGAGCCACCCAGGCGCCCCTTATTCTCACTTTCCAATACAGTTTTTTGAAGGATGAGCCATTCACAAAAGTAGGGATTCTGAACCAGGCGATCTCTCATCCGTGTTGAGATTCTACTGTATTAAGTTAAGCTGATTCATTCATTCATGTATATTCAACAGGTGTGCTACTGTGCAGGCTGGCATGTTCTAGGGATGCCCACGAAGTGCTCGATTCCACAACAGTGGAAATGTTCTAGAGATGCTCTGTCCAGTACAACAGCCACTAGGCACATGTGGGTATCGAACACCTAAACGTGGCTAGCATGGGGCGCCTGGGTGGCCTAGTCGGTTAAGCGTCTGCCTTCGGCTCAGGTCATGACCCCGGGGTCCTGGGATCGAGCCCCGCATCGGGCTCCCTGCTCCGCGGGAAGCCTGCTTCTCCCTCTCCCTCTGCCCTTCCCCCTGCTCGTTCTCTGTCTCTCTCTCTCTCAAATAAATAAATAAAATCTTAAAAAAGATTTAAAAATAAAAAATAAAATGACAGAAGCCAATACCTGCTTTTAAAAAAATTGCAGAAGTAAATGTGTTCCCTATAAAATGTACCAAAAAAAGTGAAAAATGTCCCTCTCCTATGGCGTGTGTCCTGGCATATCCTCCCCTTAGGGAACAACTACTAAAAATTTAAGTTGTTTATCTTTAGAAATTTATCATATGCAGGGCACCCGGGTGGCTGAGTCCGTTAAGCGTCTGACTCTTGGTTTCAGCTCAGGTCATGATTTCAGGGTCGTGGGATCGAGGCCCATGTTGGGCTCCACACTCAATGGGGAGTCTGCTTGAGATTCTGTCCCCTCTCCCTCTGCCCCTCCTCTCTCTCTCAAATAAATAAATTTTCAAAAAAAAAGGAAATTTATCATATGCACAGGTAATACTTTAAATATATATATACATATATATTGAAATATATATACACTTTGAATATATATTAAAGAATGTGTGTAACATTTATAAGCGAATATAATTTTAAGTAAATGTTACACATTTTTCCAAAAGCATATTTTTTTAAAACAAGATACATACTGTACTGAAATTCACTCTTTTTTTGGTTAACAATGAACCATAGACGTGTCTCCACATCAGTGCATTTAAATCTACCTCATTTCAACAACTGAATAAAGAGTATTTCATTGTGTGGCTCCATCAGAATTTACCACATAGGTCTGCTGTTGATAGGCATTTCGATTGTTTCCAAGTTTTTGCTATTATTACACACGAGGCTGCAGTAAACTGCATTCTTCATATAGCTCTGCAAATCTGTATAGGAGCATTTCCTTTTGATACATTTGTAAAAGTGGAATTTTGAAGGCAATTGACATGGGTAGACCTTTGAAATTTTTGTTAAGAGTTCTGGAGGAGATTATGCTAAGTGAAATAAGTCAAGCAGAGAAAGTCAATTATCATATGGTTTCACTTATTCGTGGAACATAAGGAATAGCATGGAGGACATTAGGAGAAGGAAGGGAAGAATGAAGTGGGGGGAATCGGAGGGAGAGATGAACCATGAGAGACTATGGACTCTGAGAAACAAACAGGGTTTTGGGGGGGGAGGGGGGATTGGTTAGCCCGGTGGTGGGTATTAAGGAGGGCACGTACTGCACGGAGCACTGGGTGTTATACGAAAACAATGGATCGTGGATCACCACATCAAAAACTAATGATGTATTGTATGGTGACTAACATAACATAATAAAATTAAAAAAAAAAAAAGAGTTCCTGTCCTCCCAACGTCCTTGCCAACTAATAATATTTTACTACTAATATTTTAAACTTTACCAATCAGCAGAGGAAAATATCCCATGTATCTAGAATTTGTTCATTTTAACCATTAAGAAGGCTTGAGGCTATATCAAATTATTTTGTAAATTACCTATTTATCCTTGGCTTGTTAATTTTTTTCTGTATGTGTTGCAAATATTTTGCAAGTAGTGTGTTGCAGTCCTTGACTGTTGTCAGTTTATTTCTGCTTTTCTTGCTGCGTCTCTGGTTAAAGGACTTCCTTAAATGTCTAGATGTCCTTGACCGTCCCTTCCTTTTTAAGAGTGAGGCCTGACCAAGCTGACCGGAAGTCCGGTGTTCATGGATGGGACTCCTGAGTGGTCTCCCTACAAGTGATAGAAATGTCACTGATGCCGCGTAGTTTGTCCCAGCACGAACGTGACTTCTCTCTCTGCCCCTTTTTCCTTCACTCATGCCCAGTGTGCTTGCATGGCTCGGAGGCCAGCATTGCTCTCGGAAGGAAGTGTCTAAGGACCCACGCCATCCAGAAAGCAAGGCCTCCATTCAGGACAGCCTCCATTCAGTGTCCCCGACTAGTTCTCTGTCCAGTCTAGCTGACCCCACACCATCAGTGTGCACGCTCTCTTTTCATCTCTTCTTTCTTGTCTTCTTATAACAGACGATTCCTTGGCTATTTCTCTTGTATCCTTAAGTCTTCTTGAGTTCTTGGGTGGACTTAAGACATTTCTTCTTCCCATACTTCAGTTTCTCTCAACATTTTTCCGGTCCCTGCACACTTGAGGGGCATGCAAGCAGCCCTCAATGCAGCGGCTGGCTGGGACATTGATTCTTATGGGTGCACAGTGAAGGGAATGTGGAAGAGAGAGAGAGAAGCAAGTGCAGGTAAAAAAAAAACAAACCTTCAGGTGTGTCTGCTCACACACAGGTTGAGGGTGGTGCAATACCCTCAAAGTTCTCTGTTCTTTCTTCCTCCTTTTGAAACCCTCTCATCGGATTTTCTAGACAACATTTGTTCCAGAGTCCTCCACCATAACTTTGTTCAAACAACCTCAAATTTGCGAGAGAATGATGGAGGGGAATGAGAGAAGCACTTTGGACCAGAATGAGCTGACATTATTTCTGGAGTTGTTCTGGAGGTCATGTAACGAATGAGGGTTTGGAACTCTGTGGAGCCTGGTTACCCATGTCCTCTCTGCCCTGTCTCCAGAAGAACCGAGAACTAGTTGGCTTAGTCTAAGTGGTTCCTCATAAAAAGTGAACATTCAGTCCCTTCTATTTTACAATAATGGACTAGTATTTTTTTTTTTTTACACATCTTTGCTTTTATCTGATTTCTTATGAAAGAGGAAGCAAGATGGGGCACAAGTCTTTTTTTTTAAGATTTTATTTATTTATTTGTCAGAGAGACAGAGAGCACAAGCTGGGGGCGGGGGGCGGCATGCAGAGGGAGAAACAGGCTCCCTGCTGAGCAAGGAGCCCGATGTGGGACTTGATCCCAGGACCCTGGGATCATGACCTGAGCCGAAGGCAGACGCCTAACCAGCGAGCCACCCAGCTATCCCGGGACACAAGTCTTAATGACAGGGAAGACAAGATTTTACTGAATTGTGGCCTGGATTAATTCATAACATCACATTGCTTCATTCTGTGCAAAGAGGTATCTACGGTTTGATTTTTCACAAAATGTTGGCTACTCACCCTTCTTTTTGACATCAGTTTGGTTTGCCTTCATTATTTAGAGTATGACATCTTGTACTTGGCCTTTGGGCTCCTAAATTGAAAATGTGTGCTTCACGGTAGCTATTTTGGGTAGTTTGATAAGGTGATGAATATCTTTTTCCATTTTGCTGTTTTCCAAGATTACTGTGGAACCATGATCATTGAAGGAGAGGAAGCTCCAATTGCCTACACGTTGGATGATACCAAACCTGATGGCAACTGTGCCGCCATAATGGGGTAAGGTGTGCTTATGGTGGTGCGGGTGCTCTTTGGTGTTGACAGAATATTCCAGTACTATTAATAAATGTGCCCTAAATTTTGTTAAATATTTTTTTTTTTACCCAATGGGTAAAAATCTCCAAATCTGGCAGTAGAAAAGTTCTTAATGCCTTTAAAAAAATTACGTGTTCCAATGGATATTTAGAAAGGAAGTAGAATACCAATAACATTTTAAAATTTGTTATATCCATTTTCTGCTTCATATTTCGTGCTGGGGGTAGATATATTTTGGTGAGCTATCTTTTGTGAAAGTATAATATAAAGATGACTTAGGGTGTTTTACTAAAGGAGCTTCTTGTGGCTCCTGTGTAGGCATCAGTGGTAATTATGTGGGATACTGAGATTTTTCTGAGCTGCTAGAGAGGAGCCAAGGCCGGCCCAGTGCTCAGCTTGGCAGGCAAAACCAGCACAGACTGGGGAAGTCTTGGGGGTCAGAACCTGGCCCAGATTGGTGGTTACCTGAAGCAGCCAAAATTGAGATGAGCCCTAAGATAGATACATCCAAACGTATTTTCGAGAGAGCCCCAGGTGACGACAGGGAGATCAAAGCCAGTTGTGAAGTTGAAGGCAATCATAGGGCTAGATGGAGGCAGATTTGAGAAGGCTGGATGCTAGACACCCTCGTGAGACAGAACCAAAGAGCAAGGGCTGGATGACCTTAGGTGAGCGTTTGAGCTCAAGGGCTCATTCTTGTCGGCCATCAGCCGTGTGGGGGGAGGCAGGTCAATCATCATATTGTCTTGGGCAGAAATTATGGCCGGTCATCTGTGTTTCGTCCCTCAATCGCTGAAGCTGAGGGTGCTTGTCAGTGTCAAGAATGTAGCATGTGAACAGTGAAACATGGAACAATAAACTAGTATGTCATTTGTTTCTTCTGGTTGACTTCCATTTGCTCTCTGGGCACATGTGTAGCTATAGAATTGGGGCCAGGATGAAAGCAGCCATTAATTTCCCTCCTTTTTCTTATTTGTATGTTTTAGATTTATCCTTGCCCACAAAGCCCGAAAACTGGCACGTCTTACCAAAGATGAAAGGTACGGAACCAAGTGCCTCTTCTCTCTTCCTTCCTTCTTTTCTGCCTACTTGCCTGCCTTTACATTTTATTTAACTTTTTAATTTGAAGACTGCCTAACTATAGGCATATTCCCAGTGCTACGCGTCGGCGATAAGTCTAGTAGAGAGACACAGCCAATGACTTAAGAACCGAGTGTTCAAATTAATTTTTTTTTAAAAGATTTTATTTATTTATTTATTTGAGAGAGAGAATGAGATAGAGAGAGAGCATGAGAGGGGGGAGGGTCAGAGGGAGAAGCAGGCTCCCCGCTGAGCAGGGAGCCCGATGCAGGACTCGATCCGGGGACTCCAGGATCATGACCTGAGCCGAAGGCAGTCGCTTAACCAACTGAGCCACCCAGGCGCCCCGTCAAATTAATATTTTTTGAGTTTATTGTACATAAGATACCATGCGAGGAGCTCTCTGGAATACAAAAATGGACATAGCCCAGGGGCTGAAGACGTACTGGGGAAGGAGATAACCAGGTAGACAAATGACTGCGAGGCAGGGCAATCTGTGTATATCCTGCATGAGTGATGCATAACAATTACAGATTATAGGGACAGAGGGACGAGTTTCTCTGGAGGTGGCACTTTCTTCCAGCAGTTAATATTCACCACTGGCAATTATTATTCCCACACCACCTCTCATGCATATTTACCAACTCCGAGCCTCTGAATTACATTATGGCGCGTTCCTTCCCCTCCATTATCCTGCTTCTCTGTGACTAATGTCACCGCTGCGCTTGGCCTGGGGAATGGAGGTCTGACCGGGCCACTCACCTAAAAAAAATAAATAAATAAATAATAAAAAATCGCCACTGAAATATCAAGATCCATGAAGGTAGGAGGTTTTGTCTGGCTGGTCCACTGCCCGATCTCCAGTGCCTGCAACAAAGCTTTTCCCCGTTTAGCTTTTGATCATGTTTATGGCTTATGTGTTTTATACTATAAGAAAAGATTAACTTTTTATGAAGTTAAATTTATTAGTTTTTAAAATCATGCCTTCGGGATGGTCTCACATATGCTGAAAATACTTTTCTATTCCAAGAGCATTTTAAAAATCACTCATTTTCCGATTACTTTTCTGGTTTCATCTATTATATTGAAGACCTTTGATCCTCCGAAATATATGTTGGTGTAAGAAGTCACATAGGAGGTCGACTTTGTTTCATTCACGGGTAGCTCTTTGTCCCAGTGCCATTTTATTGATTAATCAGTCTTTCCCTCGTAGGTTTTAATAACTTTTAAAAATCATTGCCTGACTCTAAATTCTGTAAAAATCAGACTTGAAGTAACTTGAAGTTAACTATAATCTCACACCCCAACTAATAATTGTCTGACTATTGGCTAATGTCCAACTCCCCCGTGAGACTAAATTTCTTAAGAGCCACCATTTATTGAACGTCTGTTGTGTCCCAGTTCTTTATTGAGCATCTAATATGTCCCAGTTCTTTATTGGACATCTATTATGTCCCAACTCTTTATTGAGCATCTATTATGTCCCAGTTATTATAAAGCATAACTTTCTATGCTGTGCATCAGTGGTTCTCAAACCTGAGAATCATCTGGAAACTTTGGGAAAGCGCAGCTCTGCCTGCCACTGCTGTTTCTGAATCAGCAGGTCTGGGCTGGGGCCTGAGAACTTGCATTTCTAACAAGTTCCCCGGGTGACGTTGCTGCGGCTGCAGCTGGTGGTGGTCTGAGGACCACACTGTTTTACAGCATGAAAAAAAAAATCATGCCAGTTTGTTAATAAAACTAAAGCGCAGAGAGCTTCAGTAACCTGCTCAGGGTCTCCTAGTATTTGAGAGGCAGCAGCAGAATTCAAGGCTTTTCCTGCCCCTTCCTCTTTCCACTCTGCCCATTACCTAGCCGTGGGGCGGTGAGAGGAAGAGGGGAAGCAAGGATCCCCCCAGAATCTCTAGCACTTCGCAGACCGACACTTACAAGGTACACAGTGTTTTCTTGAATGAATGACCAATTGCCAGGTAGCCCCCCGTGATGCGGGCCATGTATCACTTTCTCTTCCTTCATATTGTTGGTGACCACATAGACTTAAGACATTTGAAATAGAACAAAGGGTCTTGTTTTGAAAAATTAAAATGAAATGGCAAGCGGAAGCAGTAGCTCACAGGGTCTTTGGATGAAGGGTTGGGTGTCTCTTTTACTTCCTTCCTTTCTTCATTTGCCCTTTTGTCTTTTTCTCCACCCCCCACCCCCCCGCCATAGGATGAAGAAACTGTGTGAGCTCTATGCAAAAGTTCTGGGCTCCCAAGAAGCTTTGCAAGTAAGATGGAGAGAGCCCCCTGGTTTTGTCCTCAAGGGGCTACGAGGGATAGGCTCACGCAAGTAGCGTTCTAGAGAGCTCACGTTCTCTCTGATAGCTCAAGAATCCCACAACACTGTTGTGTTGCAGGCAATGCCTCACTTGTCCCCGAGTTCAGCACTCTTCCTGGAGCAGGACGTTGGGCCACGCCACTCCCACCTCCATCAGAGGGGTAGAACAGAGCTTATGCTACTCCTCAGGAGATCCTGGATCCTAGCAGCCGGGATGGGAATGCAGAGAGTTTTCTCTCTCTCCGATCCTATAAAAAGCTGAGGTTCTCATTTGTTTGCATAAACTAGCATATAAGCATTCCCCAACACCCACCCTGCACTGTCTCAGAGGTACAGATCGGGTGGCCTGTCCCTCTCCTGCACATCCCCTTTTCTCTTGTTTTACCCTTGAACATTAGGGGTGCAGGGAAGACACGCCGATTATATTGGTTCAGGGGGAGCCCTGCCGGCCGAGTTTCACAGACACCTTCAGAAGTAGCCTGAGGATGAGGACCCTGCGATCTTCAAGTTACACAAGTAGTAGCCCCCACCCCACCCAGGTGGTGAAAGGCAGGATGGGGGGGGATCATGGGGCGGTGTGGTAAGGGCATTTGGTGACCGCCAGAGAACGCAATGCGCCCCTGACCAGTAGACATAATCACATCCCTCATCCATATTTAAAGCAACGAATTGGTGTTCTCGCGACATGCACCAGACCGCGGGGGTTTGTAACGTTTGAACATGGATTAAATCACCTTTTGAAAGCGAGTATTAAATCCGGTTATCCATAAAACATTTGAAGACAATGGAGACCCATGTACAAAAGAGCGGTTAAAGAGTGAGAAAAATCTAATGAGGGGGCTAAGACTGTTCAAATTGTTAAGCCTCTTAAATCCAAATCTCTGCAGTGCACACCATGACCTAGTTGAGCAACTACATGGCTTAATCTTCTTACTTCCACACAGATCTTGCTCAACTTCACAGCGCCTTGCGCCCTCCCACTCAGGTTGTTGTAGCTTTTCAGTTTGTCATTTTCGTTCATTCTTTTAAAGCAAGATTCCCCTTCCCCTCCTCCCCTCACCCCCCACATGATGTAGGTGAAACTCATGCTCTTGAGGACTTTTGGAGTTCCTTGAACGAGAGTGATTGATTGGTTTGGAGAGAAGCGTAATAATAATAATGAAGATTGTGTTTTGCTTCATTTTTTTTGTGCTTCCATAGACCATTTAGCAAGTTTATTTATTTGAGAGAGAGAGAGAGAGAAGGGGTAAGGGGAGGAGCAGAGGGAGAGGGAGAAGCAGACTCTTGCTGAGTGGGGAGCCCGACACGGGGCTCGATTCCAGGACCCTGAGATCATGACCTGAGCTGAAGGCAGCGCTTAATCAACTGAACCACCCAGGTGCCCCTCGAAAGTTTAAATATAAGCATAGCCTCTAGGCTCAAGGGTAGCGCGAGTGAAGTAGCAAAACCACCAATACACACATGCAAAAAAAAAAAAAACAAACCCTTTCACGTCCATTAAAAATGACTGGTTTTTCTGTTTTAAAATGCTGTCCAGATACTTCACCCTGGTAGATACTCAAGCTTTCTCGAAGTAAACGTCCTGAGACACACTCAGGCTGAGGTGGTATGTCACTGAGATCCCTCCAACGACCTGTGGGATGGTTGTTTGGGGAACCGCAGTTGGAAGGGAATGTAGTTGCTCTCAGATTCCAACAACAGTTGAGCATGTTTAATGTGGGAAAGTCTCTTTCTTCGAATAAGAATGTGGGTGAGTCATTGCTGCTGATAAAGATGAGCTGATCATGTCCTGGTTTGCTCTTGGCAGGAAGAGGAACACTTGATTTCCTTTTGCTTTGGTGTTCATTATGTGGAAGGAAGCAAGCCCCGGGAGCAGGGAAAGAGGAAAGATAAAGCCCACGCTCTCTTCTGAGTGGCTGAAAACAGCCAGAGAAGAGTGCTCCCAAGGTGGTGGTTGCCCTCAGATGCAGAGAGCGCATGAGATGTGGCAAGACCACGAGCGACCGGACCCACTGACATCCCCTCAACTAGGGCCTTGTGCTCTATAAATAGGATGCATTACACACGACTATCCAACATGCCATATGGGACTGCCTATTTTTTAGACAAAACATTTTTTCAAAATCTCTTTTTAAGCTGACATTTTTCTCTTAAAACTTGCTATGTTGATTTTTGTGTCAAAATAACACTTAATGATAAAGCTTATTTTGGTTATTTTAATAAAGGGCTCGAGCTTTGCAAAATCTCAGCCAACATTTCGCCTGTTCCTGGCAAAAACACGTCTTTCAGACCAATAGTTGTTTGCAAGTGCTCTCATCCATGGAAGTGCCTACAGCCCATGAAAACATTCATTTGTCCATCTAGCTTCCCTTACCTAGTGAAGCTCACTTCCACCAAAGACATGAATCTGGTCATCCTTTTTCTTTGATAGACATGTTTTTTTTTTTTTTAAAGATTTTATTTATTTATTTGAGAGAGAGAGAATGAGAGAGAGTGAGTACATGAGAGGGGGGAGGGTCAGAGGGAGAAGCAGACCCCCCGCCGAGCAGGGAGCCCGATGCGGGACTCGATCCTGGGACTCCGGGATCATGACCTGAGCCGAAGGCAGTCGCTTAACCAACTGAGCCACCCAGGCGCCCTCTTTGATAGACATGTTTTTCTGCTGTTTTCTCTGCTCCAACCATTCCAGTAAGCATAAATCCTTATTTAAACTTGTCTTGAAACCATTAGGCACTAATAACTTTTTAAAAGGCAAGACCAATTAAAATGTGGAATGAGACAATTGCAGTTCATGAACATTTCCTGAGACATGAATGAACCAAGTGAGAGAACTTTCTGCAGTCAGAATGTCTTCGGAGTTTATTACCAAGGACATTTACCTGCCCGAAGGCATATCTCTAAAAATATCAGGCTAATAATAAGGCTCTCTTTCAGATGTATATTGGTTCTTCAATATGATGCCCACCAGGCTGTGTTTGATTTATTCTAGACCAAACAGCTTTGTCTGAGTCTCCTCTGAACTTTTGTCTTTCTGTCTTGCAGCCGGTGCATTACGAAGAGAAGAACTGGTGCGAGGAGCAGTACTCCGGGGGCTGCTACACCGCCTACTTCCCCCCTGGGGTCATGACTCAATATGGAAGGTAGAGTAAAAGTGTGCTAAGCTCTCACTGAAATTCCCTGAACCTGAATCCGACCTCTAAATGGGTTCATGGAGCTCTTCTCCCTTTTTATCTTGTAAACACGAAAGAAAGAAAGAGAGAGAGAAAGAGAGAGAGAGGAAGAAAGAAAAGAAAGAAAGAAAGAAAGAGAAAAGATATCCCTAATTTCCTTTGTATCTTGTGAATCTCCTGGGTGAAGTCATTATAATTCCACACCATGGTGTGCCTTGCACTCTGGATTCCTCTGAAGGAGCAATCCCAATCAATATAACCAACAAAAGTGGCCACATAAGAATAGGAATTTAAATAGAGTGTTCGCTTATATTGTCAGAAGAATTATCTTTATACTGAGGTTAGAGCTCACTAAAATTTCCTTAAAATGGAACTCTCAAGGTGCCTGGGTGGCTCAGTCGGTTAAGCGTCGGACTCTTGGTTTTGGCTCAGGTCACGATCTCATGGTTAGTGGGATTGAGCCGCAGTGCGGAGTCAGCTTGAGATTCTCCCTCCCTCTCTGCCCCTCCCCTGACTCATGCACATGCGCACTCTCTCTCTTAAATAAATAAATAAATCTTTTAAAAAATGGAACTGTAGAAGTGCCAACATGGCTACAGCATTAATAAAAGCAATCCTCAAGTCAGAATCTCTTAGAAGTTTATTACGAAGGACACTGACCTGCCCAAAGACATATCTCTGAAAACATCAGGATAATAAGGCTCTATTTCAGACATATATTGGTTCTTCAATATGAATTCTAGACTGGGAGTGCAGGGACTTGGGTACAGTCCTGATTCTACCAATAACCAACTTTGTCATCCTGGACAGGTCACTTCTCTCTGGACCTTACTTTCCTTGGCAGGTGTATAAGAAAGCACAAGATGGCATACAAGGGATAATAATCAGTCTGTTCATGACAACATGAGGGTTTTTTTTAAAAGACTGATTTTATTTATTTACTTAGAGAGTGTGAGTGGGGGGAGGGGCAAAGGGAGAGAGGGAGAATCTCAAGCTGACTCCATGCTGAGCTCAGAGCCTCACGTGGGGCTCGATCTCACGACCCTGATATCATGACCTGAGCCAAAACCAAGAGTTAGACGCTTAACCAGTGAGCCACCCTGGTGCCCCAGGAGTTTTTTTTTTTAACACTTTTTCTGAGATACAATTCACATACCATACAATTCACCAAAAGCGCAAGATTCAATGGCTTTTAGCATTAACAGCGTTGTCCGTCCAAGTAGGACTCACTGGTGTTTAGATAATTGTGTTTGATGACAACGACAAGGTATGGATTGATGATCTAGCAGTAATTATTATGACCATTGTAGTAATTACTAAGCCAAACAATAATTTAATGCCAAGAGCTCAATCTAAATAAGATAGGACATGTAGGGTAGTGAGGAAAAGCCTGTTGGGAGTATGCAATAAAAAGAAGGTACGAGTGAATTTAAACAGATGATCAGTCTGTCCATGAAAATCAAAGAAGGATTAAAACCCGCTTGTGAGAAGATACACAGTGACTTTGGTGAACACTTTCCTTATCTTCCCGAGGATGGCAAAATGTCACGTACAAGAACATTCTGGGGCCAAAGAGCACCACCTGATTAGCTACCGGGTCAGTAAGTTCATTTTGGGATATGCTGAGTATAGAATACGTCCATAGTAATTGCTTCATTCAGGACTTATTGGCTAAGTGCCAACCATTTGCCAGGCACTGTGCTGGAAACATCCATAACGAGAAAATTCCTCCGTGCTGTGAAGGAGCTGACAGTATTGGGGCCTGGGGTGGGGATGGGGAGAAGAGAGAACAGCGAAAATTGACTCTAATGTGCTGTGGTCAGTACTCTAATAGACGGGCGTACAGATACCATGGGGACCCAGGGAGGGACAGGCTAGCCTTACCAAGAGAAATCAAAGAAAGCTTCATAATACACATACCACCTGAGGAGTGTAGAAGGCAGAGAAAGGTATTGGAGAATGCACCCTGGGCAGATGGAACATTATGAGCAAACACTTAGAATCCTTCAAGTTTGTGGGAGGTCTGGGGGAAAGTTCTGCGTGGCTGGGCTGTGGGTCCTATTGGGGATTGAGAATGGAGATTCTCTGATGGAGAATCAGAAAGGTAAATAGGATCCTTTGCCTCATATAACAGATTCAGGAAGACAAAATTTACCCTTTCAACAAAGAAAGGCCAGTCAGAGCATGACTTGGTTTTGGGTTTTGCAGTGTGAATAGATTTCTGACCACGGAATGTCAAGTTTCATGCTCAGTCCCCTAAGGTGTTGCAGGAAAATGTCTATCGGACCACGGGATGGTGGGGAACACAAAGGAGATTCACCCACACGGGCCTGACCCTGGCCACACGACAGTTAACAACATAAACCCCATCGTATCGGGCTTGGGTGGTAACATGGCAGTGCCCTATTTTCATCCTTATTTCTTCCCAAGGACATGTATCAGGCTTCATGTCACCAGCTTCAATTTGGAGGGTAGAAACTAAGGCTCAGCATATCTTGGTGACACAGCTCCCGGACTCAGCAAGGATTACCTGCCACAGGGCTTCTCTTGACCCGTCAGGTTCATGACGTTTGAGGTACTGCAAAGAGTGTTACCTTCAGGGCCCTGGAAGTACACGGAAAATGCTCTGTTTCCAGATGAAGACAAAGGACAGTGTTGACAGCGCATTAGTAAAGAAATAAGCACATTTCTTAAGGAATTTTACTTCTGGGTAGACAGAAAAATGAATTGTAGTGATGAAGCAATAAAACACGTAAAGAAATATTTTACTCCACCAACCCACGAGAAATATACATGGAAATATCCCTTTTTGTGAATATATACTGTCTGCTCACTCAGCTGCAAAAGAAGAGGCAGGGATTTTTCTTCTCCAGCTGTGGGGTGTTTTTTCCTGCAAGGGAAGATTTGCACATGACAAGTAGAGGAAAAATATCTCTTTGTCTGTTTGAAATTAATTCTTAGTTTTTACATTTTTACATTCCAGTTGTTTGCAGGACTAGTTCTCTAAGCATTTATTCTCCCATCTAATATTTAATTCTAGGATTTGGCCAGGGCTTCCAAAGGTTTCCAGTTTGGTGTTAGTTCCCTTGATTTGAAAAAAACGAACATGCACAGGCATGCTCAGTGGGTTAAGCGCCAAATCTTCATTTTGCCTCAGGTCATGATCTCAGGGTCATGAGATCAAGCCCCACATAAGGCTCCATGCTTGGTGTGGAATCTGCTTGAGATTCTCTCTCTCCCTCTCTCTCTGCTCCTTCCCCCACTCGTGCACTCTAAATAAATAAGTAAATAAATAAATAAAATCTTAAAAAAAAGTGAACATTTATAATGTTGATGATGATATACGAGGCAAAGCATAGAGGATAAAAACAGAGACCTTGACATTAAAGCAAGCCTGTTTCCTCCCGTGGAAAAAGCAACATTGTTTAATGAACTTGGAGATAGCGAATTTACCTTCTCTTGCAGAGAATCCTTCCTGAATACCTTTAGGCTCTCCAGGCCCTTCTGGCTACAGATCATTCCAGATTATTCCATGTATTATTGGCAGCATTTAATATTCTATAATCTCTTCTCTTCTACTTTCTACCCCTTTTTTTATTTTTTAATTTATTTTTTTAAAGATTTTATTTATTTATTTGACAGAGACACAGAGAGAGGGGGAACACAAGCAGGGGGAGAGGGAGAGGGAGAAGCAGGCTTCCCGTTGAGCAGGGAGCCTGATGTGGGGCTCGATCCCAGGACCCCAGGACCATGACCCAAGCTGAAGGCAGACGCTTAACGACTGAGCACCCAGGCGCCTCTCTACCCCCTTTTTATTCTTAATGGCTTCAGTGAGGGCCAGTGAAGGAAAACCCACCAATTCAAGCAAGCCCATTTGGTTTTCTGATAAAAGGCTTGGTGGTGTACAGTGTTGACCAAGATAGAGCTTGGGTGTTCACTCTGGACCTCCACATCCCTTATTTGATATAATGGAAACCTGAGATAGGATGAATAATGACAGGGTAACAGTGCATCCTTTATGGTATTTTTGTCAGGGTAACAACAAACCACCCCTCTTAGAAGCCAAGTGCAGTACACTTCTGTCCCTTTGTATAGCATATGGCCACTCTTTGCTAACTAGTGATGATGATACACCAGGCAAAGCACAGAGGACAAAAACCAGAGACTGTGACATCTGGTAGACCTAATTCAAATCCTAGCTCTGCTATTTTCTAGCAGTGTGCTCTTGGCAAGTCAGCGCACATTTCTTCAAGCCTATTTCCTCATGTGTAAGGTGGGATAATGATAATAGTAGGTATGTCGTGGAGCTCTTTAAAAAGATTGAATAATTCAAGAGGGAAGAAGTATAGGTGGCTAAGACTGTGGGTGCACGGGTTGCCTGGGTGACTCAGTCAGTTAAGCATCCAACTCTTGGTTTCGGCTCAGGCTCAGGTCATGATCTCATGGGTCGTGGGATCAAGCCTCATGTAGGGCTCCACACTCAGTGGGGAGTCTGCTTGAGGATTCTCTCCCTCTGTTCCTCCCCTGACTTGTGTTCTCTCTCTCTCTCTTTCTCAAGTAAACAAACAAATCTAAAAAAAAAAAAAAAAAGACCGTGGGTGCTGAAGCCAAATGGCCTGGGTTCAGGTCTCAGCTCTGCTACTTACTAGCCATGAGTTGGAGTGAATGACTGTCTTTGTCGCTGATTAGATTCCCCAGGAAGCAGAGTCTGAAACAGATTCGCGTACAGGATATGTACTCGAGACAGCCCTTGGTGTCAGTGCTTGTGGAAGTGAGAGGAAGGGAGCAAGAGAGGGACAACAGAGAAGTTGGACTGTGATGGACTTCCAGTGAAGGCCTCAGCTGAGCCCATAGGGAGCTCTGGAGCTAGAATGGCCCTTAACAGTTGTTCCAAGTTGGAGCGAGGCAGGGAGAAGTCCTTACCACCCCATGGTGATCAGTCGTTGAATGCTCCTGCTTCTGGAAGAAGGCAGGACCTCGAGGTGACACAGTTTTCTTCAGCAGAGGCAATCCCCAGAGGGGGCTGGCACCCGAAGGCATCTTCTGGTAGCACTTCTAGAAATCCTTCATTCTTGGAGGGGGGTCTCGGCAGTGCATCACAATGTCACAGTCCCTGTAGCTCCATATTCTCATCTTCAAAATGGGGATAATCATAGCACCGACCTCATAGGGTTGTGGTGAGGATTAAGACTTCGAAGAGTACTTGGCACCCAGTAAATATTAACTGTTATTTAATGTGGCAAAACTCTTAACACAGGTACAGGTAAGCGCTCAGTGAGTGGTAGGGGTTTTTTTTTTGTTTTTTCTTCAAGATTTATTTGAGAGAGAGAGTGAATGGGGGAGGGGCAGAGGGAGAGGGAGACAAGCAGACTCCCAGCTGAGCGCAGAACCCAATGTGGGGCTCGATCTCACAATCCTGAGATCATGACCTGAGCCAAAACCAAGAGTCAGACGCTCAATCAACAGTCACCCAGGTGCCTTAGTGAGTGGGTAGTTTTATGGCCGTAGTCAGGCTCACAGATTTGTTACCTGTCACTGATGGAGAAGTGTCCTCTAAGAGATGGGGAATCCAGAGCTCAGTGAGAGGAATTGATTTGCCAAGTTCATTGGTGGAATAACCAGGTAGGGAACTGGGGTAGGTGTCACCTTGCTTGGAGCTGGTGAGCCATAAAAGGACTGGGCCCAACTAGTCCATCATTTCATGTAGGCGAAGCAAACACATACCCCACTGACGTCAGCCCCTATACCTGCAAGCTCTTGGTGCAGGACCACAACTCAGCTTTTATTCTTTGTCTGTGACAAGGATCATGCAGTAGCTGGAGGCACCTGTGAACATTATTCCAGAATTGTCCATGTACTCGTGATGCTTAGTATCGGAGGAAACCGACCAGACTTGGTCTCTGTGGGAGGGCTCTTCTCTGCCTCTGTCAGACTGACCACTTTGACCTCTTTGCTTTTGTTTCCAGGGTTCTACGACAGCCCGTGGGCAGGATTTATTTTGCAGGCACTGAGACTGCCACGCACTGGAGTGGTTACATGGAGGGGGCCGTGGAGGCTGGGGAGAGAGCAGCCCGAGAGGTAGGGCCTCGGGTCATGGGCTGTGGGAGAGGAGGCAACGCATGGGTCCTACAAGCAGGTCAAAGGTGTCTGAGATCCTGGAGACCGATTCTCCAGTAACCTCCATCTGAAGACCCATGAGACACCATTTTAACAGTATCTTAAAGTGCAACAGACACCTTAACCCTAAAGTAATAATGAAAATATCGTGTCATCCAAAGTAAAAAGACCCCATGGGGCAAAAGATCCCTATGGGTGTACTTGAGAGATCACCTGGGTCTAATATTATAGAACCAAAAATGTTTTTATTATGACTCAGAATTCATTATATATTTCCTGACAATCCCTGTGATCTCATTCCTATTGAGGCATGTTCACAGCTACTCAAATCTGTGGTGAGCCTAATGGTTGGAGCTTCTTATGTCATGGCTGAAAGACCTTTTTAGAGCCTTTTAAAGATTGAATGGACTACGTTGGCTTTTACCCTGGTGTTTTTGATGGATATCCCAAGAGATAATCAGTTAGTCCTTTATTTAAAGAGCAGATTAGCAGCAGAAAGATGGTGTCACCTTTGTAATTCACCAAAACACTCTTTTCAGATCCTGCATGCCATGGGGAAGATCCCAGAGGATGAAATCTGGCAGTCAGAACCAGAGTCTGTGGTAGGTTATATTTTATTTCATGAATCCTTTTCTCTAAAAACAATTACTTGCAGAAAGAACCACTTATAATATTTATATACCTTTCCCTAAGTGATTCAACTCATGCATGTTTGAAAAGATACAATGAGGGGGTGCCTGGATGGCTCAGTTGGTTGAGCCTCCGACTCTTAATTTCCGCTCAGCTCAAGATCTCAGGGTTGTGAGATCGAGCCCTGAGCTGAGCTCATGCTGGGCATGGAGCCTTCTTAAGAATCTCCCTCTCCCTCTCCCTCTCCCTCTCCCTCTCCCTCTCCCTCTCCCTCCCCCTCCCCCTCCCCCTCCCCCTCTCCCTTTAAAAGGATACCATGTGTTATGGCAGAGGTGAAAGATTTAAAAGAAATTGATAAATTTGTAGCCTGCCACATCCATTGCAGATTATTAGGAAAAATACAATTTTTGTCAGAGAGTTCTAGAACATATTAAGAACTCAATAGATGCTTTCTGAATAAATCTCTAACCTGGTGATTCCCAACAGTGGATAAGAAATGAAAAGAAGTATGGCAGCCTCCCCTGTCTAGGGACCAAGGGGTGGAATGAAATGGAACAGATATAGATTAGAAAAGTATTTTCAATATATGCATTGTTACTTTTGTAATAAAACCCCAGGAAGTTTTCCTGACTGGAAGGAAGGACACACAGAGGATAGAGTGAAATGCATTGCAGAGGACAAGGGTCAAAAAGGTCAAAGTTATTCCTTGATCAATGTGAAGTCCAAAAGAATAGCCCTGCCAGTCCAAGTCATTGCCTTAGTGCTTCTGTCAGAGATGGGACTGGGGTCTGAGTGGACCACAGATTCATTCAACTCAACAAATATTTACTGTGTACCGACTCCACATCAGCCACCATGCTAAGGGTACTTAAGCAGTGCTTTCATGGAGCAACGACATGTGGGGAGAACAGATGATAATCAGAAAGCGCAAGTGTCATGAAGAAGACTTGCTGAGGGTGTAAAAAGAAGAGGCCATCTTAGCCTGGGGGCACAGGAAAGGCTCTCCCAGGAGCCTGTAAACTAAGACTTGAAGGATGAGTCAGAATTAGCAAAGTAAAGGGCCTAGTGGGGAACAGAGATGAGTGTCATGAGCAGCAGGTACATTATATTTAATGGCCTAGAGGTGGGCAGGAGTGGGTCATGTTCAAAGAACTGGAGGAAACAAAGAATTTCTGGAGCAAAGTGTGTAAGCCCTGTACTGACACCGAATGTTCTCTGAACCCAGGATGTCCCTGCGCAGCCCATTACCACGACCTTCTTGGAGAGACATTTGCCCTCCGTGCCAGGCCTGATGAGGCTGATTGGATTGACCGCCATCTTTTCAGCAACTGCTCTTGGCTTCCTGGCCCACAAAAGGGGTCTACTTGTGCGGGTCTAAACAGTGGGTGTCTGTAGCTACACCTTCTCACTCTGTCTGGTGTGTGGGTTTGAGGAAGGGGTTGCAATGAAGTTCCAAGAAGACATAAAGGCCATAGAATGAGGTGGGGAGCATGAAGATAAGTCAGAATTCTGACCATAGGGCACATGGAATGTCCTTTTCCAGTTGACCCCTGCATATTGTCCCTTACCTGGCTTCACGCTCTGTCTCACCTATTTCCAAGTTTACTGCGCCCAGAAATTTTATAGTAGTTAAACAGGCTTCTTAAGATCCTCGCTGTCCCATGCCACACCTTGCCCATGCACAAAAAACTAGTTTTTTCCCCCACCTCTGTGGCTTTGTGTGGGTCCTTTCTCTTATGTGTAACATCCTCTTTGTCCAAGTTCTCCGCACTTGCCCTTAGAATCCTGTACTGTTATAGCTGGGCCTTAGAAAACATCTAGTCTTCACCTTCTCTTGTAGTATAGATCAAGCCAAGGCCAGGAGAGGTGGAACTTAATCGCCCAAGGTCCACAGTAAGCCACTGATATTTGGGGGACTAGAATACAGGTCCATTGCTTCTTCCATCCCCCAGGGTGTATGCCCCAATCACCCTCTTCCACTCCCTGCCATGCTCACCAATGGTGTCCCTTTGTGTGGGTTTATGCTGCACTAAGTTGTTAGGCGCTCCTCAGTGCTACTCAGTATATATCCTTAAGTCTTACTGTCTTGTGCAGTGTGTTTTCAGCAGATTTTAATTTCTTGGAGGATAGGAATCTTGTCTTCCTTTTGTATCCTCCATTATGTCTGGATACAAAGGTCAGTACGCATTTGGGCAATTAAAAATAAAGTTGAATGACCAGATGTCTGTTGTCTTTTCTTTTTGGGTAATGACTTTCAAGGTTTTGACAGATCAGATCAAGACCCAGTATTAGGCATATAATTGTGGCTTTAAAGCCTTTGGTCAAAATTTCCTTGAAGAGCCAGATGATGCATGCATTTTGATTGCATGATCCATCATGGGCGATGCATGTCCAAGCACTTGGTAAATGATTTATAATGATATGATAAGGATGCTAAAAGACAGAGCTCCTTCCTTGCACCCCCCCAAAAGACCTGTCATAATAATTGACATATTAATAAGATGCTTTAATTATTAAGATAATTATAATATTTCAGTTGCCTTTTCATATTTTTATCAGTGCAAAGCTTTTTACTAGGTACACTCATTAATTTAAAACTACAGTTTCATAGTCCATTAAATCCCAATTAAACTATTTTTTAAACGATATCATCATTTCAAAGTATTCGTACCTCTCACCTCCCAAGGTCAGTTTTTGTCAGAATGTATTTTAAATCCATAAATGACCATTCTCCTACTCTCCTTTAGAAAATTAAGCTTATTCTTCTTTTTTTTTTTTTTTTAAGATTTTATTTATTTATTTGACAGAGACAGAGATAGCGAGAGCAGGAACACAAGCAGCGGGAGTGGGAGAGGGAGAAGCAGGCCTCCCGCAGAGCAGGGAGCCCGATGTGGGACTCGATCCCAGGACTCCAGGATCATGACCTGAGCCGAAGGCAGTCGCTTAACCAACTGAGCCACCCAGGCGCCCGAAGCTTATTATTCTTAGCATAAATGCAGTTTGAGAAATCTCCATGATTATTAATAGTGTAGAGTTTCTGATTTTACAGTGACATTTACATTCATGAATTGATAGGAATTTAGAGACTAAATGAGGTTAAAAAACCCACTAAGACTTTGCATGTAACCATTTTGGTTTTTCAGTCTGCCTAAAAATGTAATGTACTTGGCATAGAGATGTCTTCTTGAGCACGTTTCCTTTCAAAAAAGATCCCCCCCCACACACCAAATTTGCCACATTAAGAACCTCCAACACATCCATTAAGAAAGAGTCAAATAGGGAAATGCACATCAAAACCACAGGGAGTTATCACCTCACGTCTGTTAGAATGACTTACCATCAAAAAGACAAGAGGGTGCCTGGGCAGTCAGTTGGTTAAGCATCCAGCTCTTGCATCTGACGCGGGTTGTGATCTCAGGATCATGGAATCCAGCCCTACAACTGCGCTGAGGGTGGAGCCTGCTTGAGATTCTCTTTCTCCCTCTCCTCTGCCTCCCCGCCCCCGTCGCTATGCACTCACGCACATGTGCGCTCTCAAAACAAACAAAAAAGAGATAGCAAGTACTGGTGAGGCTATGGAGGAAAGGGAAATTTTGTGCACCTTTGGTGGATATAAATTGGTACAGCCACTATGGAGAACAGTATGGAGGTTCCTCAAAAAATTAAAAATAGAACTGCCATATGATCCAACAATTGCACTACTGGGAAAATATCCAAATGAAATTAAAACACCATGTTGAAGAGATATCTGCACCCCCATGTTCACGGCAGCATTATTGACAATAGCCAAGACATGGAAACAACCCAAGTGCCCATTGACGGCTGAATGGATAAAGACATTGTGGCATTTGTATATACAATGGAATATTATTCAGCAATATAAAAGGAGGCAATCTTGACCTTTGTGATATGGCTGGACCTTGAGAGCATTACGCTAAGAGAAATAAATCAGAGAAAGACAAATACTGTATGATCTCACTTATATGTGGAATCTAAAAACAAAACAACAAAACCCAGACTCATAGGAAAAGAGATCATACTTGCGGTTATCAGAGGCAGGGGTTAGGGGGAAGGGAATTGGAGGGAGGAAGTCCAAAGATAAATAAGTCCTAGGGATGGGATGTACAATACCATGACTATAGCTAACACTCCTGTATGATATACGAGACAGTTGTTAAAAGAATAAATCCCAAGAGTTCTCATCACCTGGGAAATTATATATATATATATATATATATATATATATATATATATATATATATATATATAATTATTAAATAAATTATATGAGATGATGGTTGTCGGTGAAACTTACAGTAGTAATCCTTTCACAATATATAGTCATATCATTGTGATGTCCACTTTAAACTTACACTGTGTTGCATGTCAATTATATCTCAATATAACTGAGGGGAAAAGATTTATTGGATTTTCAAAAAAGGAAGAATCAAATCAGGATTTGATTTTTTGATTTTGATTTACTCGTTCAAGCAATCTCCTGGACCATTTATCCTCCATTTTGGCGACATGGTCCTTTATCTTTGTTCTCCCGATGCCCCGTGCACAGACCTCATGTCCTGCATGTACCACATGGTAAGGCCATTGTGCCATCTTGTTGACCTACATGATGACATCACTGAGATGCCCAGCCATATTAGGTGTCAGTTACCAAGGTAAATCCCAAGATGGACAAAAATGGGAAACTTTCAAGGAAAGACCTAAAAACCAGTTTCTTCTCTGTTGAAACTCCTCGCCAGTTTTGAGGGTATAAAAAGAGTGGGGAGGGGTTTGTGAAGGGGTAGATTAGTGAAGAGCTCTCTCTGGAGACAGCTGCCATGCTCTGAGTCCAACGCACCCAAGGAGGAAGGAGAGGGGTGCTACCTTCCAATCCCAAGTCTAGCGAGAAGGGTTTGTTTCCTTTGAGAGCTTGACACACCCCTGAGGAATCTAAAGCCCTGGACTCCGCTCAAGATGCTTCTGAGCAGTGAGCGAGGGATGACTGTCACAGAGACTGCCAAAGAATAGAAGCTGAATGGGTTATCAAAATTGACCACAAGGAAGACACTGCCTGTGTTGGGGTAGTCAAAGTCAGAAAGGGCCAGCATGAGATTCTCTAAATAAAACCCCACAAGTGTCTCCACAAGAGTCGGTTCTCAGAGCCTGTCACTGAGCCCCCTTCCCTCATCCCGTTCCACGCATGCCCCTGAATTTCCAGAACGTACGGTGGGCAAGCTAAGCAAGGTGTACAGAAGGAGAGGAAAAGTTAGCCATAGGCTCCTGTGACTTGGCATGACAGGCCCTGAAATGGGTCCTAACTGGAAGAGAGGAGAAAATCAAACTCTAAATCAAGTTTAAAATAAAAATAAAATAAAATAAAAAATAAATCAAATTCAGAGATTTGATGGTTCTACAATTTCGGACATTCAAATTATTGAATTGAAACTGTGGTTTGTGACTTACAGAAACGTTAGGACTGCCTCTAATTTAAGAGTGATTGATAGAGGGGAACCCAGGTGTCTCAGTCATTAGGCGTCTTCCTTCGGCTCAGGTCATGGTCCCAGGGTCCTGGGATTGAGCCCTGCATCGGGCTCCCTGCTCAGCGGGAAGCCTGCTTCTCCCTCTCCCACTCCCCCTGCTTGTGTTCCCTCTCTCGCTGTCTCTCTCTGTCAAATAAATAAAATCTTAAAAAAAAAAAACAGTGATTGATAGAGTCGTAGACCTGCCAGTGTGTTTGAACATGAGAAGAGGAGAAACATCCTTCACTGTGCAAGTTTAAATGAACAGTGGAAGAGAAAGAAAGTTGTGATTTCTTTACATCCCATTCAATGCCTTGCTGTTATTATCATCTATTCTTTAGAGCAGAGATTGTTTTTCTATTCATCTTTTCATCCTTTGTATCTTTTATGGTGCCTCAGCCACCATAGTGTCTTAAAAAAATAAATGGATTCCTGTAATTTTCATTATAGTTCTGTTATTTATAATTCTGACAATTCTATTACACCTGCCTACTCTTGGTAAAGAGGATGCTCCTGTGCCTCCTTTTGCAGAGAGCTCGTTTTCACTTTTTCTCATACTCATTTTGAAAGTATTGTCTTCTTCACTATATGCTAGTTGACATAGCACTAATAACTGTTTGGATCCAGTTTCCTTCTTGAGTAGATTGAGTCTAAAGCAATGATTCTCAATGGAGGGTGCATAGCAGAATTACTGGGGTGCTTTGGAAAGAACGACATACCTAAGCTTTACATGGAGAGTTTAATGTAGCAAGGTGGGTAGAGGGCAAGTGTCTTCATAGACCTTCTCTGTCAAGGTCTGAAACTGAGCCTTTCTCACAGGACGGCTGCTCTGCCTTCATTCTCTTTCAGCTACCTGGCTATATCAGGGTGAAAAGAAGATGTTTATAAAACACTTGGAATACAAGTGAACAATATTTCTCCCTGAAAGCCAAGCATTAATCCATCAAGTTAAAGAGTGAGACATGTTTCTGGGATCATAGGAACTACTTGACCCAAGAAAGGCTATCTTTCGATTGGAAAGCATGGTTGTCTTCAGCTGGGTCCTCCCCCAAAAGCAGAGCCTGAAGCAATGGCTTTGATGCAGATCGTTCACTCTAGGAAGTGATCTCAGGGAGCCAAAGGGGGACAGGGAAGGAGGGAATGCCAGTCCCCAGAGTGCAGTATCGAATTGGCCACCGCTGTGGGCTTCTGGGGCTCTGAGGAGCCATGCGGAATGCACTTCAGACTAGATCACCGGAGGGAATCAAAGAAGGGAGTATTCATCTCCCGTTGGTCAAAGTTTTCCGTAGAATGTTTAACTCGCTTACACTTCCAGGATTGCCCATGTATCAGAATGGCTGCTGAGGACGGTGCTGTCAGTAACTTGCTCCTCTGGTTGCTGGTTGCTACAGCAATGGCCGGAGTAAAAAGACAGGCTGAGGGGATGTGGTGGTGCCCAAGAGGTGCCCTATATACAGGGGCCAATATACAACTTAAAGGAGAAGTTAAGAGAAGCATAGTATGGCTTTTTTTTTTTTTGGTCCATAGAAGAGCTTCTGAACCTTGGGAATAAATCATTCTTGTGGTTATTTTAGTTATACAAGTACATTCCAATTTGAGATCTTCAAGGCTGCACAACTGGGGTAGATCCCATGATTGGTAAGGTCTTATGCAAGAAAGGTGTCCATGAAACACAGTGCTTGCCATGCCTGTGGTCTCCTTTCAG